CCGTGTCATTGTTTACTAAAATTTTCCCTCACTTGCTGGAAACTTGTTTACTAAACAAGCGTTTCATGCACAACTGTTTGGCCCAACTGTGTCTCCAGCTTCCACCTGACTCCCTGCTCTTATCATCATCTCATTAAAATCATTTTTTTACCCCCCATTTCATCCATATCAACTATGCTAAACACATGAGACATGACCCTGATATACATGATTATTACATAGTTCATTTGTGTATATCCCACGACCAAGATTCATTCATTACGAATCCATGCTCGTTTTATTATGAAGTTCATACAATTAATAAATTAAACAAAGCCGCCATGGCTGAGAAACGATGTATAGGTTTCGCAAGTGGATACGTAAATACTTGACAGATAGCTGCGTTTGAGAGCTTCAAGTGTTAACTGGAAGTGATGAAACGACTTGGATGAGTTCAAGGTTAGCTTCTGATGAGTATATGAATACTGTGTGGTGTGTGTGTGTGTGTGTATGTGTGTGTGTGTGTGTGTGGGTGTGTGTGTGTGTGTGTGTGTGTGTGTGTCGTGACTCACCTGCTAGTTAGACTGGAGAGTCTGCGAGGCTGCCGTGCCTGAAAGGAAAGAGGGAATACCTTTTATTAGCTTGATATGTGAAGACGGAGACGAATGCTTGGATGTGGCGGTGTTTGGAATGTGTCACACACACACACACACACACACACACACACACACACACACACACACACACACACACACACACACACACACACACACACACACACACACACACACACACACACTGTCTATATCGCAGGAAATACTTCAGTAGAAGGAAGAAAGTGACTGTGATCAGTGCTTTGGAACCCCCACAGATCACCCTGGAAGACCCAGACAAAAATACGAGGACAAAACTGACATAAATGCCATTCAAAACGTGGCTGATTTAAACCTTAGACTGAGAACAAGCTACTAGTAATGGGAGATTGCAATTATGGGCAAACTAACTGGGACTCAACGGACCCGAGAGCAGGAGAAGAAACTTGAGCATAAAATAGCTAAGTTACAGAAAGAAACTTCCTGACATGTGAGGGAGGAAACATGGATAAATGGGGACCTAGGGACGAAACCTGGAGAAAGGGGAAGTATACTGATCATGGTTGGCAACGTCTGCATGCCGTCGAATGCTGATAATGCTGCTCCTACGTTGATTTAACGTTGATTTTGTTGATAACCACTCAACCGCATTCCTCTCGGCTTTAAGCATGAGTACCCACATCATTAGGTAATTTAAATAAAGCGACAGTCAGTCTAATTAATGTTTAATTACGCGTGTGCCTTTTACATCCCTCTGCTGTTCATTACTGTATACTGTGCATCGAACCGTGAGAAGCTATGACGTAGTTAAGACATAGCTTCGACACGGAGGGGATGACATAGAACTATTAACCCATTGGTCCGCTGATGAGTGAGGACCCTCGAAGGTTGTATAACCTCAACATTTATTCTAACCCTTTCAGTCAAGCTTCCCCCTTATACCCGGAGTCAGTCAAGCTTCCCCCTTATACCCGGAGTCAGTCAAGCTTCTCTCCACCCCTGCCTGTCTCCACCCCTGCCTGTCCCACCCCTTACCTGTCCCACCCCCTGCCTGTCCCACCCCCTACCTGTCCCACCGCGTACCTGTCCCACCCAGGGGTCACGCAGACTCCTGGACAAAGGGCCGTGAACTTTATCGTTAATAGCCGCCAGTTGACGGGATTTCAACATATATTTTTGTGCGTCTCGTTTGATGTCCAAATTGGAGAGCGTGCGTGGCGGGCGGCGAGAGGGAGGAAACAGACTTAAATAACTCGGTAATCAATATTACTGAAAAGAAAGCATGTAACCTGTTTCTCGAGCGTATCTAAATTATGGTCGCTTGTGGTATATTGTTGTACATGGAGGGTTCACAGTGAAAGAAAATGGGATTTGAAAGTAAACTTTAGATTGTGTGCATGTACATGGAGACTAGGATCATGTAGACTTGGTTTACTTTGGACTATGTTCAGGACTACAGTATACTTGCTGGTTGGTCAGTTCAGGGATGTGGTGGAGGCTGAATACATACACAGTTTCAAATGTAGATATGATAGTAGGCTCAGGAATCTGTACACCAGTTGATTGACAGTTGAGAGGCGAGACCAAAGAGCCAAAGCTCAACCCCCGTAAGCACAACTAGGCCAGTACACACCTTTGGGATGAAATTTGACTCAAGAATAACCACGAAGAGCCAAATGCTGAAACCAGCAACCAAGGAAACCCCCTCCAAAAAACTTTCGTCTATAAGGCCCATCTCATCTCATCCCTTCTCAGCAGCGGCGGTTGCAAAACTCTCATATGAAGCCCAAGTTCACTCCCATCTTCTCTATGCTCTGTTCTCCTGGACTCTCTCACATAATTTATCCAAATTCTTCACAAAGATGGAGAACCTCACAAGAAGAATCACGGGAGACAAGATGACTGCCTTACTATTTTGTTCTCAAGGTTTCCCTATCCGGTCCATCATTGTGGACAAGTTGGCAGCCTCTACACAAGACGCTCAGCCATCAACAGCCTCATGCTGGTTGTGCCATTCTCAAGAACATGACTTCCTCAGCGATCATTCATCCTCCTTGACCGATTCGCGTTTGGGACAACTTCTCTCAACACGTAGATACGCGTTAATGTTAATGTAGCCACCATCTGAAGGCTCCAGCCTCGTCCTGTCACCACAGAGGAGAGAGAGAGGAGAGAGAGAGAGAGAGAGAGAGAGGAGAGAGAGAGAAGAGGGAGAGAGTAAGAGAGAGGAGAGATGAGAGAGAGAGAGGAAGAGAGATAGAGAGCGAGAGAGAGAGAGAGAGAGAGAGATAGAGGAAGAACTGAGGAGAGATCGAGAGAGGTAGAGATAGAGAGAGAGAGGAGAGACAGAGACCGAGATAGAGAGAGACGAGAGAGAGAGAGAGAGAGAAGAAGAGAAAGACAGAGAGACGGGGAGAGAGAGAGATAGAGAGAGAGACGAGAGAGATTCCACAGAGAGATAGACATCCAGAGAGGGAGAGACAGAGAGAGAGGAAGCGACAGAGAGACAGAGAGAGCGTAGAGAGAGAGACAGTGAGGAGAGAGAGAGACAGAGAGAGAGAGACAGAGAGAGGACAGAGAAGAGGGAGGAGACAGAGAGAGACAGGAGAGAGATAGAGAGAGAGAGATAGAGCGAGAGACAGACCAGAGATACAGAGAGTTAGAGAAAGAAGAAGGAGAGAGAGAGCAGAGAGAGAGAGACAGAGAGAGAGACACAGAGAGAGAGACAAGAAGAGAGAGACAGAGGAGAGAAATAGAGGAGCAGAGAGAGAAGAGAGAGAGAAAGAGAGAGAGGTAGAGAGAGAGAGACAGAGAGAGAGACAGAGAGAGAGAGACAGAGAGAGAGACAGAGAGAGAGAGACAGAGAGAAAGAGAGAGAGGTAAGGCTTACCATAAGCTATAGGAACTGAAAGCCCCTAAGCCTTCACCCGTGGCGTCGGAACCCCCTACTCACCTGCTGGCTTAAAAAAAGGTGAGAAGATAGGAATAAACAATATATATAACTTGAAGGAGGAGCCATAAGTGCCACCAGCACCAGACACAAATGTGCTCCTCGGAGCTCCTTCGTTACTCCAGCGTCTCCCACTCAAGGGTCAGGTTAAGGTCCTCCTTGAAGAGCGTCGAAGCCCCCGTCTTGTCCCTGTATTCCTTCTATTTTTGTACGTTTCTCCCCATTTTATTAATTTTTTTCATTCTTATTATTATTCTTTAGCTGAATTTGTATCTATTTTTTTTTATTTTGGGTTTTAACTATTTTGTGTGTTTAATTATTTTGTATTTTTAGTTTGAATTGTTCTGTATTTGTGGGGGGGGCGGCCAGGTGAGGCGCTCATCTGTGTGGGGGGCGGCCAGGTGAGGCGCTCACCTGTGTGGGGGCGGCCAGGTGAGGCGCTCACCTGTGTGGGGGCGGCCAGGTGAGGCGCTCACCTGTGTGGGGGGCGGCCAGGTGAGGCGCTCACCTGTGTGGGGGGGGGCCCAGGTGAGGCGCTCATCTGTGTGGGGGGCGGCCAGGTGAGGCACTTACGAGGTCGTAATCTCTACAATAATACAAACAGTTATGACTTGCTCCAAACCCACACACACACACACACACACACACACACACACACACACACCCACACCCACCCCCACACACACACACACACACACACCCACACACACACACACACAACACGACTCGTACTGAGCTAAGGGAACTGAAAAACTGGAAACACAAATGGCTCACAGTGATATCAGAAAGATCTTTTTCAGTCTGAGTCGTAAATAATCTTTTTCAGTCTGAGTCGTAAATAATCTTTTTCAGTCTGAGTCGTAAATAAGTACAACGGACCGGATGAGAAAGTTGTTGCAACCAGTTCGAAACAGTTTTAAATGTAAATATGATAAAAGCGCCAGAAATGAGTCATTACACTAATCTAAAAATGTTCAGAAGGCGGAGCTAGGAGGACCAGAGGACACGGGTGGATGCTGGAGACACAGATGAGGCAGGACCAGAGGACACGGGTGGAAGCTGGAGACACAGATGAGGCAGGACCAGAGGACACGGGTGGAAGCTGGAGACGCAGATGAGGCAGGACCAGAGGACACGGGTGGGTGCTGGAGACACAGATGAGGCAGGACCAGAGGACACGGGTGGAAGCTGGAGACACAGATGAGGCAGGACCAGAGGACACGGGTGGAAGCTGGAGACACAGATGAGGCAGGACCAGAGGACACGGGTGGATGCTGGAGACACAGATGAGGCAGGACCAGAGGACACGGGTGGATGCTGGAGACACAGATGAGGCAGGACCAGAGGACACGGGTGGAAGCTGGAGACACAGATGAGGCAGGACCAGAGGACACGGGTGGAAGCTGGAGACACAGATGAGGCAGGACCAGAGGACACGGGTGGAAGCTGGAGACACAGATGAGGCAGGACCAGAGGACACGGGTGGAAGCTGGAGACACAGATGAGGCAGGACCAGAGGACACGGGTGGAAGCTGGAGACACAGATGAGGCAGGACCAGAGGACACGGGTGGAAGCTGGAGACACAGATGAGGCAGGACCAGAGGACACGGGTGGAAGCTGGAGACACAGATGAGGCAGGACCAGAGGACACGGGTGGAAGCTGGAGACACAGATGAGGCAGGACCAGAGGACACGGGTGGATGCTGGAGACACAGATGAGGCAGGACCAGAGGACACGGGTGGAAGCTGGAGACACAGATGAGGCAGGACCAGAGGACACGGGTGGAAGCTGGAGACACAGATGAGGCAGGACCAGAGGACACGGGTGGAAGCTGGAGACACAGATGAGGCAGGACCAGAGGACACGGGTGGAAGCTGGAGACACAGATGAGGCAGGACCAGAGGACACGGGTGGATGCTGGAGACACAGATGAGGCAGGACCAGAGGACACGGGTGGAAGCTGGAGACACAGATGAGGCAGGACCAGAGGACACGGGTGGAAGCTGGAGACACAGATGAGGCAGGACCAGAGGACACGGGTGGAAGCTGGAGACACAGATGAGGC